AAAAAAAAAAAAAAAAAAGATTGGGTCCTTATGAACCAGAAACAGAATCTGCTCTGGTTAGTTTGCTTGTCTTTAATAGAGTCATCAGAGACTAATTTATAATTATGTTAACTAATAATTTACCCTAAGTGATCAGTCTGAAACCAGGATATTTGATCTGAAAGATTAAGCTTTCTGCAAAATAGATCATCTCAAAGGGCCAAAGAACTTATCAGAAGATTCTAGTCAGCATGGGGAAATAGTATTGTATATAAATATTATATTATTTATATTTATCTCAGCTGGTGTTTATCAGGATCCAGGTGGTAAAAAAAACAGGAGAATTCTGCTATCCTGAAATAATGCTTCCCTTATCTAGCCAATGAATTCCCCAGAAATTCATGTCTTTTGGTCATCACTGGAATACATGATGAAGAATGTTAATTTTTTAACTGGATGCTTTTTTCCCCCTTCTAGTATCCATAAAACTTCCAAATTCTACATTATTAGTTTTAACACCACAGTACTTCCTGATTTTAACCTGGGGTTTAATTTAAGGTAACCAGATTTAAAGTGGGACACCATTGACCACAGGTGTGTGTGGGGGGGCGGTTTTCTTGATTAAAAATTTGGTCTATATGGACCAAATAGACCGTTCCCTAGCCTGTTGTGCATTCTTTCCAAAAATCGGGACTTTTTTAAAACGCCAAAAAGTGGGACATCTGGTTTTCCTCAGGAGAGCAACCAGTCTGCTTTTCTTGCTATTTGGTAACTAGTAACTAGACTCATATTTGCATTTGAATTAAGTAGTTCTGATTTACTTAGGCCCACAGCTGTTGTGGGAGCTTTGGTGATATGGTGATTAAAGCTCTTGACTGTTAGCAGAAAAGCCAGTAGTTTGAATTAAAGAGGCTCTTGGTGGGAGAAAGACTGCTTCGGTAAAAATTACAGCTTCGGAAACTCTATGGGACAGTTTCTATTCCTGTCCATAGGGTTGACTATGAGTTGGAATTGACTTGGCAAAAGTGAAATTTGTTTTGTGGTTTTTAGTTTCTACCATGGGTGAGACCTTTCTTTACCTAGGCCTTTATTGTATCCTATGGAGTCCTTGGGTGCTGCAAATGGTTAACATGCTTGGCTGTAACCAAAAGGTTGGAGCTTCTAATCCACCAGAGGGGCTTTGGAAAAAAACCTGGATGATCTGCTTTGGAAAGATCACAGCCACTGACATCCTATGGAGCATAATTTCTATTCTGACACCATGAGTCACCATGAGTTCAAGTCAGCTTGAGGTTAAAAATTTTTTTAACAAAATTGTGTCCTATAAGCACATACATATTGTCAGTGTTTGCTCGTAGAAGGTGTCTGTTAGGTAGTCTAGCATAGGCGTTGGGGCGTCCATAACGCATGCCCAGAGGTCCGAGCTACAGAAACAAAGGAGTGGCACACTGCACCTGCTCAGAGGTTCAGGTTTCCCTCCTGGTACGCGTGGGTGGGGTGCTACACCTGGATTGGCCCACCTAGGCCAGGTGAATTCAATTCAGCCAATGGGGCCAACCAGGGGTCGTCCACCACGCCTCCCCGCGGAATAATTGAAAAGGCAGGAGCCTGGAGTCGACTGCTTGACTCTCTGCAAGCAGTTTACAGGCAGGCTGTACGTTTGGGAGGAGCCCTGTGGGTGCCTGTGTAAACCAGAAACTCCTAACGCTCATAAAACTCACTTGGATCACAAACCAGGCTTCGAAGTGAATTCTTTCTCGCGCGGAGCCAAGGACCGAGGTATGTTTATCCCCGAGAGATCTAACAGTGTCCATTGATCTTTTGTCCCCAACAGTTTTATTCACATATCATACAATTTAATAGTTCAAATACATCAAGAAGAGTTGTACAATCACCACCACAACCAGTTTTAGAATATTTTCTTCCTTCTTGTATTC